AATAGGCCTTTAAGGATATTATGAAACTATTTCTGAATAGAGCTCTACTTATGAGTTTTATAGGGCTTGTCAGGCTCTATCTTTTATATGACTAAGTCTTTGGTTAACTAGTGAGTTTATAAAGATTGATTTGAGACATAATTAGTTAGTTCAAGGCAACTTTATGTCATTTGGGCCTAAATTCAAGTTAGGCTTTTTGTTTGGGTTTCGCTCCTTAGGACTAATGAGTGGAACAGGTCAACTAATCATAACATAATATGGAAATTATGGGCTCACATGTGATCTAAGATCAATGTGACTTAGACACTCCTTATGGACCCATTGATCAAGTCCATCGATTGGACTATTAGTGATATGATTATGCCAGGCTTGATTTAGGTTTGGCTATCCCTCACAAGATTAATTGTATTTGTTTAAAATGAAGCCACAATAGTGTAAAAATCAACTGGTAATACTTAATGTCCAAGTTTTACATAATTATATAAGTTTAAGGGGTGTTTGGTATGATACTTTTAATAGAACTCAAGTTAGATTTAACGTAAATCCAACCAAACATCATAAATAAGTTAGATAAATTCATTGCATATTAAATCCAATTTTTGTTCGTTCCGTTCATTAAATATGAATTTATTAAATCCACTTATCAGTTGGATTTTTCAGATTTAGCTTAGGAAAAAAATATTTCAAATAGATTTATAACAAACACATCAAATGGATTTAAACTTAATTGAATTATTTTAGATTTAATAGCATTTAGATTTGATAAATTTGGATTTATTCAATTAACTCTCATTTAACTTAAGTCCTACTTGCAGCCAAACATACCATAAGAAAAATGCGAGTTGAATCAAATTGATACAATCAAAAGGACGTTCAATATATGAGTTATGTTTGATAAAAATATGTCACATCACTTAGTATATATTTTAAGATTCATATTTTTTTGTGAATCTTATACGTTGGAACTCCTCAAATTAAACCTCCCAAATTTGAATTTGAATATACAACTTTATGTAGTACACGTTATGAGAACAAATATTAAATACATAATGAGTTTAGATGATTTGATTCAATAGCTATGTTCATTACTTAGGAACGTTTAGGCTACTTTTTCTCTTAGTTTTAAATGTTTGGGCTCCTCCATTGGGATTGTACAATTTTTATCCCCCAATAATTTTAATTTTGAGTGCATTATAAATGATTTGATTCCTCAAATAATTTGTGTTATAAGAAACTGTAATTTATTATTTTCTCAAGAGCTTTGGTTGATTGGACTTGTTTTGTTGGGTTGTATATTAAGAACTCTCTAGTTTGATTCTTTAATATACTTTGGTTAATGGCTTCTCTAATAGATTCATGCCTAAGAACCACCTAATTAAAATTTTTTAGTAAGTTTTGGATGACTTGACTCTTTTGATGAGCTTAAAACTTTGACAACGCAACAAATTTACTTTTTAGAATATTTGGACTCGGCACATCCATGAATAAGAAGAAAGTAACTTGGCCTCATGACTTATTGAGTTAATAGCTAATATTTGTTCCCTCCTTTTAAAAGACAAATCTTAAAGATGCAAGTAATTAAATTCTCTCATTTAAAGATTTAACCTTTTAACATTAATTGAAGTTACACATTTGGACTCAATTTCACAATGACTCCCCTAATGGACAGTTCAAGCTCCCTCATTTGATTTAAAGAAAAATATATTATGGGTTCAATTGAGTTTAAAATATTTATATTTAAATATAATTTTTTCTCATTCTTGCAAGGGACATATACGGTTTGTTTCCATTGAATGACAAATTTTTCTATATTTTATTAATTTTCAACTCCATCCTTTAAAGAATGGGCTCGCCTCCCTCATTTTAAGAGCATACTTAAGTTCCTCCTTTAAATGGCATATTGCTTTGTATTTAATAAGGCTTTTTTAGGATCCAGTAAAGATGTTGTGCTTTATTTTTAGGTTTATTCAACTTCTATAATAAAAACATAAATTTATAAAATAAAATAAAATAAAAATCATTAATGTTGAGTCCAAATTTGTCCTGTGAGGCATGCCCAAGAATCAGAGCAGTTGGAACCTTGAAGAAGATGTAGAGGGAGAGAAAAAGATAGAGAAAGAAATGAAAGAGCACGCACAAACTTGCCCCGTAAGGTTGAAATGGGCAATTCCCGGGCTTTGTGACTCATTCTATCTATTACAAGTGAGAAGGGGAGAGATATCTTCTTACATCATGTGGATCTAAGGAGAATATCAAAAAGCTAGGAGGCATGAAAAAGCCCTTTCACACATGTTATGGCCCTCCCATTTATAAAAGACAGAGGGCAGAAGGTGTAAAATTACATGCTTGCCCCTGCTTTCATAGAAATATTATAGGGTATTGTTGTCTTACTACTTGCCTTTTTATATTTATGATTGATTCTGACATCTTTTTGTAAGAGCTGGATCTTCTGCTCGATAGGTCATTGGGTTGGGCGTCCAGGCTAGTCATCCTGACCTGTTTAGTTGGTCGTTTAGGTTGTTGGTTGGTCGTCTAGGCTGGGTTGGTCACCCAAGCTATCGGTTGGTAGATTTGCGGTGGTCAGTTAGTTGAGGCGGTCAGTCGGTTGATGTGAAGACGACCGATTGAGGTGTTCTATCCTGGATGACATGGGGGAGCTTTGGACGTGATTGTCCTTGATCTAATGTTTATATTTACCTTAGATCACTAGCTCGAAGTGACCTTTGGTTAGCTTTTGTGACCCTTTTGTTCTTTTGTTTCGCTTTGGTCTTGTCGGTCTTAACTGCTGCAAGATCTCATCAAGATCTACGCATGCAATTCATAAATTTTACAACTCTAAAGAGCAACGATAAAACTTAAACATGGCCCTTTCATATTTGAGACAACATAACACTGATTTTCAATACTTTAGACGTAGCTACACGACCATATTAGAGGTTTGAGTCAATAGCTTAAAACTAGTTGGGAGACTAAACTTTAATAGATTACCAATATATTGTGTAAAATAATCGAGACATGTCCTGGAGGAGATATCTTTCAGGTCAGAACTATGAGATAACAATTAATAAATAGGGATGACAAAGACATTATTCAATTATGTCTTTCAAGTTCTAGTATGAACTCTCTAGATTTGTGGCAAAACAATATAAGGCGCATTCGAATTGTTTGGATATGATATCAATTAAATATTGAAGGAATATATATAATCATCATTATTACTCAATTGATCAGGATATATTACAGGTAATTATTGATGGAGTGCATGCAAACTTCATCATCATTCAATTGATTTCAACGTGAATCAAATATTTCTTGATGAAATACATACAAATTAAACCATTATTTGACTAAATTTGATGGGATATCAAATATTTGTTGATAATATATCGATAAAAAAAATTGTCATTAAAAAATAAACAAAACACTTATATATGCAACATAGTGAGTAATAACATTAGTGTATCATACAAAATGTACAACTAAGTTTATTACAGGTGAGAAATTGCAAGATATATGCTTGTCCATTATCTTATTATAGTCAGTAAATAAGTCTTATATAAATGTCTATTAAAATGATGAGATTCATTTGTTAATGGCGCGCAATCTTGCATACGCCTTAGTGTAATATATGTGATATTTCATGTTTGACAAAAAAAAAAAAAACATCATTTTGAAACTATGTTATTTAAATTCCATCATTTTGAAACTATGTTATGAAACTATGTTATTTAAATTCAAATACCATAAATACTAGTGCTAAGATTATTTTTCATCAATTTATATTCACATAAGTCATGTATCTTATTAATCATCTTTTGAAATGTGACATTTTTCTATATCATTTCAATATTGTATCACATATCTTCTAAATGGTTATATAATCAAAATCTTAATATCGAGCAGGTCAAATAATACCAGTTAGTCCAATATTATGCTTTTCTTTTATGCCACTGAGTTTACAACCAACACTATGTCGAAACAAGAGTAATTGGTTTCACACTCTTGCATGAAATTTTATAAGTTTTTTGCCTACCTGGAACATGATAAACATTCCATTGCATATATTCATTAAAGAAATATATATAGTTAATGAATAATATTTTTTCACAAAAATTACTTGACACATCATAATCTAATACGTTATATGAATACACCCCATGTATGAACAATGTCTAAATCAAATGAAACCCTGTTAGAGCATAAATATTTGAGTAAAGACAATGAGTGTGATCTAATTAATAGCTTGTTGGAGTTAATAAGTCTATTGAATGACGCTACAACATGCTAGTAACAAAATTGATGAGTGGTAAGTATAAAACACGAAACAAAAATAAAAATGAACAAGACATTACATTACTACACTTAATAATGTAGATGAAGATGTTGTCATCAAATTATAAAAGATGTTGGCAACTTGGTTTACCCTAAATATAATTTCCATTCAGTAGTACAATAATGCTAAGAGAAAACTAATTTTATATACGATTAAAAACTGATTCACCAATGAGAAGTTAACACACTTAAACAAAATAAAAAGGAGAAGCCATTAACTTGATAAATTTTTCATTTTATGAGGGAAAACAATCGTTTAATGATTTTGGCAAACTCCTATGAGAGGGGAACAAGTGTGATTTAACTAAGAATGAATGACCGACCTCTCTTTAATAAAAAAATTGACGTTCGAAGAAGTCAACATAAGGAGAAGAAGGACATACATATTTGAATTTAATATTCATGCGAATATGATGAGATATATGATATTGGTCGTTATGTGGAAGCGTCAAGTAAAGTCTGCTTTGATCAAGAGCGGTTGATAGAATAACGTAAAATGAACAATCATCTTCAGAGTTGAAGATGCATTGATACGATCACATGTATTTACATTCATGATCAAATTTTTGAGAATTTGATAAAAATGAAAAATATGAGTTTGAGTTTTGTAATGATTTTAGTATTTAAGTAGTGAGAATTTGACATTGGGATAAATGAAGCCCGTAGTGGGCTTGTTTTAAGACGACGGGTATGATTTCATTAGTCCCCGTGAAACCGTATTTTCCGTCCAGCGGAAATTTGATTAAAAGTAGGCGGATTAATAAAATTTTGCCTGCATGCAAACCCTAGCTATTCTCATCCACTTCTTCGAACCCTAGGGCACACCCAGTTCGATAGTCTCCCCGCTACCTCGTACTTCTTGATCTACCCGAGACTTCCGTTCTTAGGGTTTTTTTCTAGAGTTTTGATGGCGTGAGTTCGGGTGAATCGTGATTTCGTAGCATTTGCGTGCTAATGACGCTCAGGGATAAGGAGCTCGAGGACCGGATCGAGGAACTCGGCAATAAGCTGACGAGTCCTCCCTCCGATGTGCAACAGTTGCTTCAACTTCTTGATGTAAGCCCCCTTTATTTGTAGTTCTCCGTTTCTCCCGCTTAGAATTTGTTGTAAATTTGAGCGCAATAACGCGACTTTGCGCGTGCTTAAGGTTGTTCTTGATGTCTTTTGTTGGGGTTTGATGTATTGAAGCTGTTTGCACTTTTGATTTTTTTTTTATTGGTAGCGCTTCCAGTTGCATGCAGAAGAATATTAAATTGCATAAGGGGTTTCCTTTATTTCGGGTGGACGAGAATGCGTGGAGTGTTAGGATGAGAATTTGTAAAAAAACTTTTGTTGGGCAGAAGAAGGTTTCGGTGCTTGCCTGTGTTGGTGAACAAGGGAAATATACAATCTTTATTTCCTCGAGAATAAATTGTGGTAGAAATATGATTTTTTCATTCTTGGAAACAGTTTTTGTCAGTTTTTAACGTATAGGTGGATTCTTCTTGCGGAAACCATTTTAGTGATGATTTATTGTAACAGTTGCGCTAAACTTGGTTTTTTCACCTTGTTCTTTTGTCTTGTGCTGGTGTTTTTGGGTAAAAAGAAATGGTCAAATGTCATAAATTTTTATATGTTTCCAGCTGCTTAACATGGTGGGTTTTCTATTCAGAAGAACATCAAAGGATGCTTAGTTGGGCCACCGACTGATTTAGAATTTTTACTACCTTAATGTTTTCCTTCCATGTTTATATTGTTATTGCAGGACATAATTTCATGTAATTTTATTTAAGCGGATAATGAAGGATGGCTAAGTTAAAGGGGATTTTGTTTAAATTGCAGTGATATATTAAGAAAAAAAATTATAGAGGATTTTGTTTAGCTCTGACAATGGTGTGTATCATCATGAATTGCTTATATGTCTATTTTTACCACATGATGGTTGCTACAAATTATAAGCTTTGACTGTGATTGAAGCGTTTTAAATAAAAAATTTGTCCAATGGTATTAGCAATGCTACTTGGTCTCATCAACCTTGTGTTGTAAATAAATACCTAACCACCGTATTTTCGTCATTCTTTTTCTCTATGTTCTTCTATTACTTTGAATTGCCATTTAATTGGTTCCGAGGAATTTCTGGAGAAGAGAAAAGCTGTGTTACCCATGTAATTTACTCTTGTTTATTTGTATAGAGCGGAATTGTTCTTTGTATTTCATTTTTTATATTCTCATTCATATACTTCGTCCTACTGCTTATTTGCATGGAGAGAAAATGATGTTTGCATTTCATTTTTATATCCTTATTCGCTATACTTGGTCTCATCAACCTTACGTTGTAAATAAATACCTGAACACCTTATTTTCGTGTTATTCTTTTTCTATATGTTCTTCTATTACTTTTAATTGCCATTTAATTGGTTCCGAGGAATTTTTGGGGAAGAGGAAAGCTGTGTTACCCATGTAATTTACTCTAATGTTTATTTGTATGGAGCGGAATTGTTCTTTGTATTTCTTTTTTTATATTCTTATTCACTATACTTTGTCCTACTGCTTATTTGCATGGAGAGAAATTGATGTTTGCATTTCGTTTTTATATCCTTATTCGCCATACTTTGATCAATTAATTTCCTGAAACTTCTTTCAATTTTTATAATGAAGTTCTCCTTTCTAAACAGAAAGAGATTATTTTATTGGCAAATTCTTTATCCTCTTTTTTTTTTTTTCCAACAGCAGTTTTGTTTATTTTCTTATTCAAAATTTGCATTTGATCCTAAACTTTGTGTATCTGTAGAAAGCTGAGAACTTCTTGTCAAGGGTGGAGCAATGTCCACCACAGTCAATGCACACAGCTCTTAGCCCTTCTATGAACGCATTAGTCACTAAGGATCTTCTCAGACATTCAGATTTGGATGTGAAAATTGCTGTTGCCTCCTGTCTAAGTGAAATCACAAGAATAACAGCTCCAGATGCTCCATATGATGATGATCTAATGAAGGTTTTGCTTATTTAATCATTAAAAAAAATTTCAGAATGCCTATAAATTATTGATTTATTTCCTTCCTATTCATTCAGGAGATTTTTGGGCTAATTGTTGGAGCTTTCAAGAATTTGGATGAGTTCTCAAGCCGTTCATTTTCTAAGAGAGTTTCAATACTCGAGACAGTTGCCAAGGTCCGATCTTGCGTGCTGATGTTAGACCTTGAATGTGATGATTTGATTTTGGACATGTTCCATCATTTCCTCAAGACAATAAGGTAGGTTACCTATATATATTTTTTCCTTTGATTTCACACATCATTTATGATTTGTTTCATTGTCACATGGTCTGATTACAAAAGTCATATTTTTAACAGTTTTAGCAAACTTAAGCCAAATTTTGCCAAGTTCAATCTATGGTGCAAACTGTTTGGCTTTAGGTTTATTTACTGTGCATGTATATATGAAAATTTTATTTATATCCTGTAAGTTTATTCTTTTGCTATAACATACTTTATATTGAAGATATGCTTAATGTATTCTGTAGTCTATTCATGGGCTACTGCTCCGTGGACTAAATAAGCAGCTGTGAAAATCCGAATTAATTTGTTTTTCTGTATGCTATGTATGTTATTTATATAGAAACACTTTGCGTGCATCCATGATATCTTATCTAGTCTCTATTAGTTATTTCTTGAATGGTATGCTATGTAACGTATATTATAGTTTTTTTGTCATAGATTCAACTAAGAGTTTAATTAACGCTCATTTTGATTAGTTTGATTTTATTTATATATTTCATACCAATTATTTAGAGAATATACTTTTACAATATTATTTTCTTAGATTTCAATATATATATATATATATAATATATTTGTAATTGGAGATACTAGCTTGCTATCACAGGCTGATGCTAGCCGGCGTTTGCTAGAAATTAGTCAGGGATTGGCAGGCATTAACTTGTGGTCTTCAATTCACGTCCAACATTATCAGAGCTTTATTTGAAGTTAATATGGCTTTTCACGAGTGGATTTTTTTCCCCTCAAAATTTGTGTAGGATGGGTAGGGAAGTTGAAGCAAAAGTTAAAAGAGATTTATTGGAAAAAGTAAGGGATTGTGATCCTACAGTCAAGAATGCATGTAAAACTTAGTCTTGCTAAATAATGTAATCTCTTACTTTAATACATATATATATATATATATATATATGCAAACCATGAAGTATAAGAATGCATGTAAAACTTAGTCTTGCTAAATAATGTAATCTCTTACTTTAATATATATATATATATATATATATATATGTAAACCATGAAGTAGAAGTATAAGAATGCATGTAAAACTTAGTCTTGCTAAATAATGTAATCTCTTACTTTAATATATATATATATATATATATATATATGTAAACCATGAAGTATACATTTATTATGGGTTGGATTAGATTGACCAGAGAATTATTATTTTTTCATGTTTGTTGAATCTGATTGGAACTTGAAGTCCTGCCCGAACTTGGCACAGAATCGGATTGGAGCCCTGTTGATTTGTTGTTGGTTTATGAAAAAATGAAGTCCCTTTCGTTGAAGGATTTGTGTATTAAAATCACTACTCTAACTACATCCAAAAAATTGCTGGAAGCAAGCAAATTTCTATAATAAAGCCGCTTATTTTTGTTTTTTTGTTAAGCTTGATTTTGGTGGTTCTTTTGTTTTGATGCATATAGATGGCGATAGGGAACTTTTTTTTGTAGTTGCAGGCAAGTCTCTTTTTTGGACACCATGGATGCATACTTGCATAGTTTTGTATTTTTTTGACTAGTAATGCAAAATGCACATTTTCATGGAAGCAAGCAAACTTCATCATTTCATCTAAAATATTCTAATCGACAAGCAACCGAAGGGACCCTCTCCACATTTTGTTTCCTTTATTCGATGCACTGCCTTTTTTGAAACAGCTCTTGCTTTTCAGAATGTAAGTTGTGTATGGTAGTGTTTACTGAGTTCTTAAAGCCTATGTTGAACGTCATTATAAAATTTTTTTCCCTTTTTTGGCAATGCCTTATTTTTTCCCTTGTTTTTGACTCGGGATGCATTCATTTCAGACTTAAGCATTCAGATACAGTTTTTTCTTCAATGGAGACAGTCATGTCACTTGTTATAGAGGAGAGTGAAAATATTTCAGCGAAGCTTCTTTCATGTCTCTTGGATAATCTCAAGACTGATGAAAAGGTAAATTTTTTTTTTTGTAATATCTTTATGCTTTTTCTTGATTGAAAATAGCTTATTTTTGATCTCTGTGCAACTCCTTTCTCAGAATATCTTGTCCTCAGCAAAGAAGCTTGCAGAAAAAGTGCTGTCTAATTGTGCCTCGAAGTTGAAGCCTTATTTGGTTGAGGAATTCAAGGGCACTTCCGCTCTGAGTGATTATAGCAAAATTGTTACTGTTGTGTGTCAGGGGAATCTTGATACGTTAACCCAGAATGACATAAGTACTTTCGGCGAAACTCAGGTGCACTATCTGGCATCTTCTTTATTACTGCTTTTTTAAGTAATAGTATGACAGAAATTTATTATAACCTGGTTCCATTTAGAAGTTTTTATATTAGGGGCATTTACATACATAGCACACAACTCTAAGGTATTTACATATCTCACACTTAAAATTTTATATTTACACACATAACACCCAAATCTTTAATATCATATAAAAAAAATAACACTATTACTGCTTTGTAAAGTGAAATACATCTTTTCATGCATAGGTTTATAGCACCAAAGTGCTATGTATGTAAATATGAAAGTTTAGGTTTGAGATATGTAGATTCATAAGAATTGCGTGCTAGGTATGTAAATTTCCCTTTATATTAAGTAGTATGTCGCTCTTTGTCAAAAGTTTACTTATAATTTGTTCATGCATAGCCTATTGATATCTAGTTCGTCATTTGTATAAAATTATCATAGTGGTTGATGCTTGGCAATTTTTAAACATAAAGGTCTAACACAGTTTCTAATTTTAGAGTGTTATGCTTGTGAAGTTTAGTACCTTTTGAAATTTCTGCTGCCATTTTGTGAATTTGCATATTATTGCTTTTTTTTTTCCGTTCTTTGTGGATAAATTTCAATGCCTAATCAAGTTATCATGCTTCAGGCAGATGACAGCAAGTTATCTGAGGGGACTCTGTGTGCCGAGCTGCCTCAGGTTTTTAATTAAGTTTCTAACTGAATTTCCTTTTGCCATTTTCTTATTTAGCTAAGGTTTCTTGAGTTTTAAACTAGAATGCATCTTATTCTTCTTATTTTCAGGGATCAGCAAAACAGGAACATGAACTTGCTGTTGGAAAAGCTGTCACTGATACAGATGGATCTTCTAAATTAGTCACGAGCAATGGTACGCTTCAGATGGGGAACGGGGATTCTATGGCTTCAGAACAAAAGGCTGAAGTTTCCCAACCTGATGTTCAATTGAGGGACACTGATGGATTTAGGTTAGCTGATTCTGATAACTTGGGCTCGGGTGCTGCAAAACTGGATAGTGGATTAAGTCTTAGTTCTAGAAAAGGAAGAAGAAAAGGAACTTTGGTTAAGTTATCAGTTAATAGCGAGCATAAGCAAATTGATGACGAGAAAGAAACTCCTACTATTACTGGAAGGAGGAAAGGACGCAGTAAGGAGGCTGACTCGACTCAAGTTGATGGCCTTCCTTTTAAGGAGGTAGAAACGGCTTCTAACTCAAAATCTAGGAAGAAGAATAAGCTTGAGCCTACTCCTGGATTGGCTGATGTGTCCTCTTCTATTTCTTTGCATATCCCTAACGAGCATGATAGAATTCAATCTAGAAAGAGTCGGTCCTCTCGTTCAAAAAAAAAATCTGGTAAAAGAAATGTTCCTGACAAAGCTGCAGCGGATGGCTCATTTAGTGCTTCTGGGCATAGGGATCTTTTGGAAAGCAGCCGAACGACTAGTGGAGATATTCCTACAAGAGGGCTAAGCTCAAAAAAGTCAGAGGGCATCAGTGATTCAGAAAAAAAATTATCAAAATTTTCTGCCAGTAAGTCACACGCACATGTTGAGGATGGCAAAACAACCCCAACAACTACACATGATTCAGAAAAAAAACATCGGAGACATAGAGTTAGAAGTGGATCTAAAAGAGAAGGTAAAGAAGAAGATTCCTCAGGACAGAAGCAAAGTGCTGGTAAGCAGGAGATGGGCGGCAGCGTAGATGTTGGTGAGGAAGATAAAGAAGTAAAATTGAAGGTTATTACCTATACTCTTAACTTTTAGAGTTTTATTGTTTAAAATTTCCTCTTATGTTTGTTTTATTTAGTCTTTTGTTGGAGCATGCACCTTTTTCATCCAAATCATAAATTGTTAAAGCTGTTTGTATCCATTCCCCCGTGCATTGAATGGTAAACTTGTTCTGGCATGCCTGCAGGATGATTATGCTTATGGCTGACGTGTACATGTGTCTACAGGGATCTATTTTGAACTCGCTTAATATATTTGTGCCTTTTAGGCCGCGGCAATGTAGAACATTTAAAGTTAGCTTGTCCCACCTGTGACTTTGGCTTTAGCAAAACTAATGACATTTACCTCTGCAGTTCTCATTCTACATGGTTTGAGTTGATTGATGAAGCAATATGATTTCTTATCTTTTGGCAGGCCTGATCTAGAAACCTATTAAGCTATAGCTTTGGCTTTTAAGGAGTTATCTTTTTTTTTTCCTTGCATTTTAAATAGTAGAGCTTCTTTTTGAATTTATTCAATTTTTGATCAGTTATATTATTTCTTTAGAGTTTGGAACTGGAAGGTTTTTGCTAGTCAAAAAGATGCTGGTTGCTATTCAATTTCACACAATTGTGCTCCAAATTTCTTCACATACCTAATCCATCCCCTAAACTCGGAAATTCAATCACACCAATTGCTAATCTGCGGTCTTTCTTATTCCGTATAATGCTATTTAATTATAATTGCCTCTTGTTAGTCGCAGCATGGTTTGTTGTTTGTACATAGTTGTCATGTTTTTCCATTTTAGCTGTATATCATACTGCTGACTAAGTCCATCTGTTATTTCCGTGAAAGCTCTTAAAAAATGTGTTATATGCTTAGTTCTCACCACTGAAAATTTGTCTTTTCTTGCCCTTTTGCATTTCTTACCACTTATTAATTGCTTAATTTATATGCTATTCTGTTTGATCATGGAACTAGTTGATTGTTTTTATCTGCATAATTTCTTCATCACACCCTCCCACACACACATATAAGGCATATTTTTTGACTTTGCTGATTCAAGTTTTTGTCAAATGTTTCTTACAGGAACTGGTCTCTTTGCGAAAATCAGCAGCGAAAGAATCTATTAAAGATCAAAGTCTTCTGAAGGATATTAGTGAACCAAAGTCTAGGCGGAAGAGAGCTCGAGTTACAGAAGAGGTAGCCCTTTTTTCTTGCTAGACTATTATTTTCTTCCTGCTGTCATCAGGCCATTGTTCCTCAACATTGTCATAAGCCTGAAATTGGATGCCACTTGCTATGTTAAGCATTGGTAATTATTGCACAGTTCTTGTTAGAGGCTACTTATGTAAGAAAATTTTTTTTTCCAGATGGTCTGAATTCCCCTGTGTAAGATGGGGTTGGGTAATTATCTATATTTAAGAAAATTCTTATAGTGAACATTCATGGGTCTAGGGCCAGAGGTAGAATAATGGTAATGACACTGGAAAACTAATCGTTTTAGAGCACAGATCCATTGGAATAGTGTAAAATTATTGGAGCAACAAGCACACAGCAGACATGATTTATTATGTTTGAGTATTGTTGAAGTTGCGGAGTTAAGCCTTGGATATGCTTTGGCAAGATGGCCATCTATGCCCCAGGCATTTTTCACCGTTTATTGTGCTGAAGCTTTTTATGCTATGTAAGATAGTTGCTTACTTTCTAGCGGGAGTAGCATGAGCCCATAGACCAGTTTAAAGCTGAAGGGCAGCGGAGTGGGTGTGCTGGCATTTTCTTCTTTTACGGGGGTTCTAAAATGAATGGCAGTGATAATGACTGGAATTAAACATTGCTTCTCAGAAGTAAAGTTAGTGGTTTCCTTATGGAAACCATTGATGTACTAATGTGCTTTTAGATTGATATCGAAAATCCAAGTACCGTGAGTTGGATATGGTGGGTTATAGATGGCGGTGAGGGTGCTTTTTTTTTAACTCTATTGTGCGAGATTGTTGGATTGTGTAATGATCAGAGAAGCCCAAAATACACAGTTATTTTTCTAATTTCATATATACCTCAAAACTTTATATATTGAGTTCATTATAAATAAGCAAGATGGAAACGACAGATTTTGGAAGTGAAAGGAAAAATAATTTTGTAGTGATTTGTCCAGAAGGCAAATCAGGTTACTCTGATAATTAGACTGTGATGATCATTTTCCATTAACCCGTTTAAATAGATGTAATGATGGTGTAATTGCATGCAAAACATTGTTGAGGCAAGTTAATAATACGTGATGATGTTGAAAGCGAAGTACCCCTTAGCAAGGAAAAATGCATTTTTACCTTTTCTCAACCATCACCACGTCACATGAGCAAGGATTCAATCCATCATCTGCATTTTTTGTCCCTTTATTTGATTGTTTATTCCACTTGTTTTTTTAAAAAACTTTTTGCTAACCTTAAATGATTTTTCTTTACTATCTGTATCATTCTCTCCATCTTTACATTTTTTATTCCCTTTGAAAATATTTATTCTCTTACTAGCGTCAATCTCCACCTCTACCCCTTTTATTTTCATTGAAGAGATATATCATTTTTTTAGCTTAACCGGGTGCTTATATTAATATATTTTGAATTACTTTCTGTGGATGCCCATAAGTTAGCCGTTACTAGCTGACCTCAGGACATTTTTTTAAACAAATAGATTAATTTGAGTTTTCTGTTGAGGAGGAAAATGATTATGTTTCTGTGCCCAGCCATGCTACAATTATCATGTTTTGGTTTTTTTTCCAGTCGTCTTTTAGCTCATAGAATGATGATGAAGCTCGCATGATCAATTTATTAATGCTAATTTAGTTGTTATACCAACTCAAGCCAGTTCTTCTGACCTTCCTTAAAGCAGGCCTTTCTTTTATCATTTATTATATTCCCTTTGCTTTTATTTGGTCATGTGGTTGCTATTTTAACTCCCTTTCTCCTTAGTGCTCTTTCTGTGGTGTAGAAATGAGTGGGCGGGAGGAAGAATATGTAAACATTCTACTGGTGTTCTTCTCTCCCGTTTTTGTATATGTTTCCTGTGTTTTGATGTTTGTTTTCTTGTTTATTTTGTAGACTTTTGAAACACCAAAGAGAAGGAAAAGTAACGAGAAACTTATTGGTGCGAAAATAAAAGTTTGGTGGCCAGATGATGAATGGTGAGATCACATAATTCTTAAACGATTGCAATTGAATTGCTTTTCATTTTCTGCAGCATATCAGTGATTATGATAACTTACTTTTAAACTTATGCCTATTATTGTCTTGAATTTTTTTACAATATCTAATAAATATTTTTTTTTTAAGAATGGGATGTTTATAGAAAAATTATGAATAAATATTATTAAAATATTCAAATTTAATATATGTTAATTTTATCATAGAGCTTTTGAAAATGAAGAGATATTAGGAATATTGTCGGCAGATTATATTTAAAATTTAAAGGGCAGGTTTTTAGATTTTGCAAAGATTTTAAGATATCAATTTATAAAATGCAATCATTTTTAACTGCATCCGTCTACTTTAGCTTTAATTTTTAATCCTTTAAACGTTGGGACTATTTTTGCTGCCATTTTAAGAGTCCATGGATTAAATTCGACCTTTTTATAGTCTGGGACAGGAATGACCCCTTAAAAAATGGTCTGGGACAAGAATGACCCTCTTAAAAAAAATGGTCTGGGGACCATTTTGGTCATTTTTGTTTTTTATTTATTCAACTTTTTGTTGTGTCATCTATCTTTTGGTGTTCTCACCCAAGTCTCTTGAGTCTATTTTTCTCTTCATTATTTTTTGTGATGTTTTTATATTTTCTTACATATAATCACCTCTTATCTACTATTTGTACTTTGCATGACACTTCTCTTAAAATTCTTAGTTTTGCCCCGGCCAATTTCTATATTAATGACTTCTTTATTTCTGGTCATTAAATAGTAATATAACTTTTAAGCATTTCTGTTCGTTCAAACTATTATAACTTGTAAGCTTTCATAATATTTTTCTTGTTATTTATTATTTGGGTACTCTTTCTCCATTTTAACCTCCCTTTATTTTACAGAAGTTATATTGTTATCTATGCCTCATTTTTCTTTATAATGAACCCAAGATTCTTTAACTAATCACATCCAAATTTCACTTTATATTCTGATAGCAATTGTTATTAGTCTTCATAGCACATCATTAAAATTGCATATTATATGAGACCTTTTATTTATATATTCTATTTTTTTTAATCTTTTAAACATTTCTTCAATGTTTTTAACATACCATTTATTTTATTGAATCTTTCACTTATGTATAATTTGCCCGTCTGCAAATACATTAACTGTAGAACTTCATTTTTAAAATAGGTTTTGTAGCATCTCTGTAATCTTTACAGAAGGATACAATCTTTGTTGTTTGGCGTGGAGGTCGTTTTCACAGCTTTGTTTTCTAATCAATTTTCACAATTCTGTGTGGTTAAAACTTGTTTGTTTTTTTTCTTAAAAAATTCTATGGTGAGAAGCAACTTTTTATGATTAGATCTCCTAGAAACCTTGAATGTGGTAGCTTTTTAAGAAAGCTGTTTCGAGATTTTTTTCTTAAATAAGAAAAAAAAAGTAGTAGTGATAGTAGTTTGAAAAAAAAAAAATCACAATAGTTTTATAACCATTTTTACAAAAAATCGTTTGCCGATTCAGACAGACTCATAATGTTGATCTTTGATGTAAACCTAACTTGATTAGGATTTTTTTTTGGATCGTTTCACAGGTACTTTTAATGCTAGTCAACTTTTCATCATACACATCAATGATAATTTAAGCATATTTTTGAGATTGATTTCTTTATAACAACAACAACAAAACCTTAATTCCACTACGTGGGGTCGGCTACATGAATCCTTTTTCTCCATTGCGTCTTATTTAGTGTCATATTTTCATTTAGTTTTAGTAAATTAAAATCATTTTTAATACAATACAATAAGCCCTTCCTAGGTCTACCTCTGCCTTTGTTAACGCAAGTCGAATCTAAAACATCTAATCTCCTAATCGGATCATCAGATAGTCGACATTTAATGTGACCAAACCATTTAAGACGACTTTCTCTAATTTTGTCCGTCACAGGAGCTACACCAACCTTATCACGGATATATTCATTTCGCATTTTGTCTCTAAGTGTAAAGCCACTCATCCACCTAATCATTATCATCTCAACAACACTTAACTAATCATTATGCTTCTGTTTTAAAGGCCAACATTCAACGCCATATAGCATTGCAGGTCTCACCACCGTCTTATAAAATTTTCCTTTCAGTCTAAGCGATACTTTTCTATCACACAAAAGGCCCGAAGCATTTCTCCACTTCAACCAACCAACTTTAATTCTACTATTAACATCCCCATCTATATCACCATCGCTTTGAACAATGGACCCAAGATATCTAAATCGTTCGCACCTTTTAATAATTTGATCACCCAAAGTCACACTTCTGTCATTAGAGCTATTACTACTAAAATCACATTCCATGTATTCAGTTTTAGTTCTACTTAAATGAAGGCCTTTTGACTCCAATGTAGACCTCCATAATTCAAGTTTTTCCTGGGCTTTTTCTCTCGTTTTATCCACGAGAAGGATATCATCAGCAAAAAGCATACACCAAGGTACATCCTCCTTTTAAATCTTTAATTTTGTGCAAATTAAAGATTGATTTCTTTAATTTGCACAAAATTACTTTCGTAATACTCAATTATATGCGCTCACTTGCTGAATAAGTATGATTTGAAGATTATTTCTTTGGTTTCAATTGTTTTTCATTGATTGCTTTAATTAAGATGTGGGCCATAATTGATCTTTCTAGCCAAAATTAATTTTTTTCTTCAATGTCTTTGTAGATTTTCCAAGTTAGTTTTTCATTGGTGTCTCTTTAACTTCATTGTATTTTTCGCAAGTTTAATTTCTTTATAGCTATCATAATCTTTTAAACTTGTCTTTTTAATAACTGTATCAAATCACTTGTACAATTATTCCTTTAGCATTTGAAAATTCTTTTATAAAGATCTGTGAACCAAGTTGCTTCCTTATAACCCATATCTCTTAATTGCCCATTGATATTTATATGGATTAACAAATTTCGCCTTTTGGATCTTCCTTCAACTCACTTCCTTTTTTGATAAATCTAGTTGTTACAATCAAGTCTCTTCTTATATAGGATATATTTCTAAGCGTGAAAAATCTTTCTTTTGTGCTCATTCAGCCTTGGAAAGCAACTTTATTTTGAAACATGTTAACGAGCAACATGCCCATTTTTTCTCTTATTATAGAAGATAGGTCCCCATTTTGTTCATGCTTGATGCATACTTTTTTATACCTTCCAAAGGAAAACCTTTTGTGGAATGAACTAGGTTCCCTTTCTAAACTAGTTTGCAACTTAGAAATAATTCGTTCAGCAGATCTATCCATCACACCTCATGTTTTCTCTAGCTATTCATTGAGTTTGTCTACAAATATATGCCCACCATCTCTAATTTCTTTTGAGCTTGTGGTTACTGAAGGTATATTTGTGATGGCTACAACTGGTATAAAATTAGATGTCGCGTTGTTGTCACGATTATAAATTTTTCTCTTAAAAGGGTTGAACAATTTTCTTATGGGCTCGTATTCTAGCATATCTAGCTGTAATGAGCTTCTCATTTCAAAATTTTGTGAACTTGGATGAGTTGTAGCCAAACAAAAGTTTGGCAATGGTTTGTGATGTAAAGCTGTGGAAAAAAATGTATTCGAAATGACCTTAAGTTTGTAGAGTTTCTGAGCTCTTTGTTTTGATATCTAGAGTTTTAAAATAGATTTTTCCCATATGTCCTTAAAATTGAATGAACATTTTATCTCTTCTTGGTTGTTTGTTCATCAGCTTTTGCTCACAATGAACTTAAAAATATATGTAAGGTGCTTTCTCTTTTCTTATGTAGCCGTGTGGTAGTGTTGAGGGAAATTATTCCTTTTTGTTAGTACCAGTGTTCAATCTTTTGCTTAATAAATAATTATAAAAAAAGTACTGGCAATTGTAAGTGCACTGATTCAATATTTAAGTTCTTTCATGTAGGCAATGTTTTGAACTGAAAATAATTTGAGATATCATTCTTTCACTATAATGAATGGTTAAAATAACTTCTTTTTTTTGCATTGTGTTATGAAATATTGATAGATTTTATAAAAGCATTTGACGATTATCAAATCTACTGCTTTATAAGTATGTGCTACTGCAAAATATTTACCAAAAGCACACATACCATTGCAACATATATATTTAAAAAAAGCTTGTTAATTTGAGTGTATAATTGAATTTATTAACTTTTTACTGAGTGCTAAAATACAATGTAAACTTCTTAGTTAAGGCATGAGTTAAATGGGAAGAATTGGAGAGGATTGGTTAGTATTTCATTTTAACATTTATGTAGCATTTATACAATCCTAGGAGAGCTTTTAATTGATAACATATAAAATCATGGAAATAGTAATTATAGTAGTCCAAGAAGTGATGATGAGTAGGCGGAATAATAATTATATAATAATTACAATATTCTCATGAATATCAGGGATGGTACTAATAATCTCACAGATGTTTGAGGTGGCATGAAAGTGGGGCTCTATGGGAAGATTGATGGAGGCGCGGTTGATAGATATTGATTTTTCAATAAGCCCCCTCAAATGAATGAAGGATGTTGTCCATTTTAAGCTTGCTTGTCAATTTTTTAAATATTATTTCTAATAATGTTTTTTGGTGAGAATATCATTTGTGGCTATAATTGGAGTATATATTCGACTATTGTTTTATTTTTTATTTATTAAGCATGTCCATTTCAATATGCTTTAGATATTTAGGTCTAAAATTGATGGTTGATTTGTTATCATAATAGACATTATGGGACATTTCTATCGAACTTTTAAATCATTCAAGATAATTTCCAATCCTAATAGCTTGCTAGTTCTTTGTCGTAGATGTAAATTTGACTTTTACGTTAAGTCATATGACTGCATTTTATTTTTTTATTTTTCCAAGTTAATAGTTTGTCTTATAAAAATGTGCGATGTCCTATAGTTGATATCTTATTAACCATAGTTCAACATAATCGACATCTTGATAGGCTGCATAGGTTAGTTCTACACTTTCTATAAGAATTTTTTA